GTATGTGTGTCTGTGTGTGTGACTGAACAGTTTGTGATGTTATATATAGATTTAGATATATATATATGTACTTTGCTCTCAGTGTTTTTTCTTGTAAACAAGATCTGGATCTCATAGAGACTTCCTGAATTAACAGCTTAACTAACTAAATACCAAACTCTCTATTTACTTTTTTTTATTTTTATATTTGAGCAACACGTGTAAGTTAACAATCCATGTAACTCGTTATTGTGTCAAAATCAAATATCTCAACTTTTATCAGCATCATTATTGAAATTTGGGGGGAAAGGACAATGATTACACACAATTATAGTTTGAATGAAACATTAGTAAATCAGCTATAATCATGTTTATCTCACCAGAACAATATAGGGTTAGTGAGTTAGTTATTAAAGTTTAAAAATGTATAGTGGCCCCACAAAAGAGCTCAAATACTGTAATAAAATAATATATATAAAACAATAAAATACAGTAGAGTTCAGTACAGAGAATTGTAAATGATAGAGCAATAATGGGATTTAATTCATTTCTAGTTATTTAACTGCAGTAAGTAGTTACCAAACTTAAAAATTGAGTTTATAGATACAACATCATATAATGTGGAGCAATCTTTTGCACTTGGAGTAACAGTGTTTGTTTCTCATTAGTATTGTTGAGTCTTATTGTCCTATTGCAGTATTATAAACACATTCAGGACCCAGACAATAAATACAACTGGACACAGCAGCTACTGAGGACACAAACAAACAAACTAGTTGCCCCCAGTGCGAGCTCATCTACGCTCATAAGCAGCAGTGAAACATAATAAGATATATGTGCAGGCTGACACAGATTGCATGTCAAACACAGTCCTCACCATCCTGTAGGGCCCATGGTCTCTGCTCTCACCCGGGCCCTGTCAGTCTCCCTGAGGAGCTCCTCCACTGCGCGCCTGGGTGGACACACAGAGCACAAACATCCAACATGAGTCATGTGAATGGGAGGGAGAAGCTGAGGACAAACATGGCACAAAAGAAAAGAGAGCCAAGGGGAGAATCATTTAATCAAGTGAGAGAAAACCAGAGTGATGCAGAGAGTAAAGGAGTGAGAGAGTGGACAGTGTCCTCGTTTGACCCCAGCTGCTGAATCAGCAGAGTCTGAGCAGAGGAGACTCACTCGACCTTTAAACCACACAGCACAGGCAGCTGATGGCAGGACTTCACTGCAAACACCTCCTACAGCTGCTGAACACACATTACATCGCTTCCTCCTCCTTTGTTTTTGCTTCTTTTTACAGGAAAACTCTGCTGGAAACCTTAAAGGTGTGTGTGAACAGAGCAGCTGTTGGCTCAGTAGTTACGTACTTCTCCAGCTCGTTGTCCTCTGCCATGGCGTCCCAATCAGTGACACGTTTTGATTAGATTAATTGGACTACAATCGATGGTTGTGATTAGCGCGACATCTCTTTGTTTACTTCTCCGTGGGGTCCTTCGAGCCAAGGACCCGGGCTTTTTTGGCTGTCCTCGGTGAAGCCTGGTCTTTTTGAGACAGAAGACCTTGTCAGAAATACTTTGAGAAATTATTTTATAGGTCAAAAACAGGCTTTAAACGCTTTAGATACTGCTTAATACTTGATTGAGTTTGTTCAGTATTCAGATCCAGCAGTACCACATATAGTCTTATATACTAATAATTAAATAAAACAAAAAGGTGACGTTTTCAGCAAATATAAAAAACTAAAAGTAGTCATTATTATTGATGATCAGCCTTTTAATATTGCAGTGGACTTTGTAGACCTACATTTGAATGTAAATATCTTATATCTTATTAAATATCTTATCCAACTACCTCATGTACATAAAGAAACCTGCACGGAAATATTTATTTCAGCATCCTTTGCACTATTGTCTACTGTCTGCAAATGTTATTGTTTTTTATTTGTTTATAAATATGTATATCTGTACATAGTGGTTTATGTCTATTTAGTTGAGCTTGTTGTCCTGTTTATTTATGCTCAGTCTGTGTTTGTACATTGAGAGCAACGTACAAGTCAAATTCCTTGTATGTGTGCACATACCTGGGCAATAATGGTGATTCTGATTAATCTGCAAAGTATCCAGTAACTATAACAATGCACATAATCAGACACTCGTTATTAACAGGCAGAACTGGAAGATTGATAATCTATTATCCTTTATTATAATTATTTCTCAACATTCATATCTGCAGACTTATAAACTCATAGCATCTATTAATGACTACTATTAAGAGTCAGATTTTTCACAAATTGGCAACTAAAAAGTTCTTTGTTTTGTAGATTTGTGTTTCTAATATAAAAAGCATTATTAAATGATTTATTACCCATTACTAAAGCCATTGGTCACTTTAAACCAACCCTTCATAAGAAACCTTAAATTACAAGTATAATATATATTGTGTAACCACTCATTCTTGAAACAACCTAACCTAATCTGCAACAAAACATCAGAATCAACAGAAATACTTTAATAATCCCACGGGGAAATTAATTTTTTCGCTAAAAAACTCCCCAATATACAAACAACAAACTATTATTAACTAGAACATATTACCTCCCATTACAATTAAACTATATAAGATAAAATGTACAGTTTAATAATAATAATAAAAAATGTTTGTCCGTGTTTGAGTCAGATTACAGATTACAAAAAACTAAGCATTTGTGACTACATTGTTTAGCCAAAATAAACAAACAATTGTAAAACATTGCAACGTTTTTAGCGTCCATTAAAACTCCTAATTCTACAACACAGTAATTTATAAGACATGACATTCATTGTTTTATAAGCAGGCCGTTTGTAAAGCCACCCCTGACTCCGCTCTTGATTGACAGCCGCTGGCCCCGCCCAGGCCCGGTGACGGACAGCAGTGGGCGGGGCCAGCGCCGCCAAAGGCACGGGGGCGTTTTCGTGCGGGTTTGCGGACCGGGCCGTTGCGGTGAATGCGTGATTGAGGTCCCGCAGCTAATAATCGTCCCCCTTTTTGGGGCCGGAGTGCGCGGCACGGAGGAGCATCCGGAATAGGTAATATCCCAATCTTACATACATCCAGTGGCTGCAGGGACGGTGTCAGAGTGGGGATGGATTTCATTGATATTGCCATTGTCGCTTCATCTGTCCGAGCTCCTCCGGGGGGTGGGATGGAGTCAGACAGATGGGGGGCAATGATGAAAATAAATGAATAAATAAGCTCTTGTCTATTCAAATGTGTTCAACGCCTACGGGTCTCTTATAGATCATGACACTTCAGCTGGTGCGTTGCCATAGTAAATTACAGCTTTGTGAAGGGGGGGGAATGATTTAAGGAATTTACAATTTAAATGAGTGTCAGGTTTTGTTGTTATCCTTCCTTGTCTGGGGGAAAGCAGCCTTATTGCAACAGACCTAGCAGAGCTGCAGCAGGCCTGTTCTTGGAAGTGGCCATCAGGATTTTTTTTTTTTTTAAAGATAAGAGACGACGAGATGGGGGTTTATGAAAATGTAGGCTAAGCCGACAGGACCTGAGATTTTAAATCTATGGCCTAAAACATCATCTCATCTTGTTTTTTATAATGTCATTCCTGCAGGCGAGGTTGTTCGTGGCTTGTCCTCTGTTGTAAGAGTAGATTGTCATCTCTTAAAAAAAA